GCATACCAAATATTTAAACACGCCAATAACTGCAAATTTAATATATTCGGAACAACGCGTCTATTGAACTAAAGTAGTCGAAGATCTATGTATGCATGTGACGTATAGTTATGTGTTACATACTTTTGTTAGTACCGTCATTTGCTAGTTTTGCAATAAAAATGGTAAACAAATCTATTCAGACTTTGCCCATTTGTTTTTTAAACTTTCATAACAATCCAATATTCATCTTGGAAGTGATGCCATAATCCACATCCCCATTTCAGAATGTCGCAATGTCACTCAAGCCCATCATGCTTTCCATCCAATCGAATCAATTCCTATACGCGACGGACCTATTGGAAATATAGCGTTACATATGAAGCACTTGCAGCCAGTAACAGCTGCATATATGTAGATACGTAAGGCCGGAAACATTCAGGACTGAATGCGACGGGGGTCTGGCATTGACAAATGTTATGATTGTGTGATGAGAATAATGCCCACCTATTCGGAGCACGAGTGCTATGAGCTGAAGACCGCAATTTCAATAAAACTGTTGAAGCTTGTGAAGAAATCAAATTTTACTGCTGGTATAACTTTCATAACAAACAATGCGTCCGTTTCAGATTTAGTCGTGGAACTGGGCGTTGTTCTCTCAACCTTCTTCTTCTCTGAGGATGAGGAAAGACAGAAAGAAAGCAAGGAAAGCCCATAGGCCCACTTTACTCCCACTTCACAATTCGATTTGACTCCAAGTTAACCAACAGTCCCAGCCAAGTGCAGAAGGTGAAAGTGAGCTTCACCGCCACTGGGAAGATCGACTACTGTGACTGGATATGAACTTGAGCCTTTTCCTAAATCTCCGTCAAGTGCCTTTGTACTTTTGTTTCCAAAACAAAAGGGCAAGTCTCCTTCCAGTTTTCTATATTTCTCCGCCTCGGACTTCTCGCTGAATGCAGTGTCCATTATCTGTTTTAAAGCAAAATTGTCGGTATGAAGTTCTGGCCTTGGGTTAAAGTCGTAAATACTTATCACCGCCTCCACCACACACACCCACAATTATTGTACTTCTGCTCCAGCAATTCATCACTTTTTGAAAGTGGCTGCAATGCCGATCCTGTTTTTGATGTGTGGAAAACCTTAATGGAGAAAAGAAAGGGAATTTTACGGCAAATGTGGAATTTCTTTAATCTCTGGCAAAGCCATAATTGAGTCTGTTGGATAAAATCATTATATTCAAAGGTTTCATGTGAGATTTGCAATATGTTTTCTGAATAAGCACAAGGTTACAAGTCCTCGACTACTAGGAGTAATTTGAAACTGTATAAACTTAGCGAATGTTTTACATTAATGTTTAAAAGTCTTTGAAATTACCATCTACTATTACATATTACAAATCAATGCCTATATCTATTTTTCCTTTCTCTTTGATGTTTGATAAATACCAAACACAATATTACATGATGTTCTTTATTTGGAAATTACGTAAATCCGTTTAAACGCTGCAAAGTACATCTATCTTTACCAGAGACAATTGTTTTAGTTTTTGCCGATGTTTATTTAAAAATTAGCTTCCACGTGCATGACAAATGAGAAAACAATCCATTCTTAGAACTCCACACATTTTTATGTATTCCAAATTATACATATGTCATAAACAACCCAATTAGTCCGAAACGACCATCGCCCACAAAGGTTCATAGTTGTATCTCAACGTATGCAGAGTTGGAAACAATGTATAATGTGCAACATCTGGAAAAGTCAATTTCACATTCTTAAAATACCCTGTGATGTATAAACTGTTGCATGCACACACGATAATGTTGCTCATACGCCCAATTTGGAGAAAGTTAAAAAGAGCACAGCAAAAATAAAGCTTGTATAATCACAGCAACCGAAATAACGTTGAGTCAAACCGACCTGAAAGCGGTACGTATATTGCGTTATAGATTTATACCATCCGAGAGGAACACACGACTCTGCAGTACATTTTTTCTTGTGCCTTTGTCGACGAAATGCAGATCACACGAACCAATTGAGCAACAAGATGAACTTCATTTCTTGGAACCAATCGAGTCAAAAGGTTCAAAGGGTTTCGTGTGCCCGTCTCAGAGCCAATTCTAAAAATCTGCATATTCAATTTCTCCCTGGTGTTGTGGAGCACATCTGGATCAGAGTGCTTCTAAAAATGGTTTCAAACGATGCAAATTACGGAGTGTCTACGTAAAGCAAGTTTCAAAATCCCTAGATTTTATCCCTTCCTCTAGAAAACCAAGGGACAGGCTCAAAAAAGAGTTGATGATTCAACTTCCAAGAAAATTGCTTGTTAAGTATCACAAAAAGCTAACTCCATTAATCCCTTGTTCCCCCAAGCCTTTCATGACGTTAAACTGATAATAGGGATTTCGTTGGTGGTTCGCTGGCATTACAAGCGTATCGACTTTCTCTTTGACCTGACGAGGTTGGCGTATATTCACTAACCAACGCATGACCTGTGGGTGCCACCTGCGTTGCCTTCATCACCCCCACGTCGCGTAGAGCACAGACAATTTCTTCAACCAAATAATTTACTGGCACAAATCCGGAAGGAAGTCTGTCATAAGGACAAGGAAAATCATCATGGAACGTTGCAATTACAGTTTAGGAATCTGTACGAGTGCAGAACTCTTTTCGCTCGGAGATGATTAACAATCTGTGAAAGTTTCTAAGGTATAGAAACCTTTTTGTACAATGTAACGGAAGGAAATGAAATTACTTCATCCCACTCGATCCAGCTTACCCCGTTGCTTTCACAAGACTTCTGAGATTCTCAATTTCCCAAAATTATGAAATGCCGGAAACATTGCATTACCGTTGGTTAAAATCTAAGGAGAACGGTTCATGCTTTGATTTGGCTCATGTGTCTGCAATGTGTAAACCATCTCCTTTCTCCTTTCATCAGAAAATAATGAGTTGTTGCGGGCTGTTTTTGTAACTATTATCCCAACCTGTGTGCGGTCACCATATGCTTTAGTTTTTGTGTTTGGGATGATATTAATTAAAATGGGCAAAATAATATGGATTCTGTTTACTTTATGTATAGAGTAGTGCAGTACAAGACGCTATGGTGTTTTCTACCGTGGAATCCCGTGGATAACCGCATGTAGTGAGTGAGCTTTTCCTAATTAATGTCCATTTGTTTGCATGATGTTCATCCTTGACTTGGTTGATACTCATACTAACTCATTGCAATGTAAAAGTAAGCATGTAGACACTAATAATAGTGAGCATTTTCAGAGAGAATTAAATAACCTGATTGCAGAAGGATTGTTTCCAGTACATATACATTTTTTCAATTAATTACTGTTTCACCTACTTTATTACTCCATGAATAACTTACAATTAGTTAGTTCGTGGAGTACGTAATGGGAAGTGTGAAAGCTCCTGCGATAAAATTACTATACATTTCTTTTCACGTCGATGGCAGACGTGATTGCATAAATCAGGCACGCTCAAAGTTGACAGCGTGGCGAATGTGACGTCTGATTTCAATTGAGTCTGCGATTGTTGTCTAACACATTATTTCACAATACCCTCCTGTCATTTTTGGTTTACGTAACCAGTGTATCCAAATGGTTGCAAAACTAGTGTAAAGATTTGCTAACTTGCAGTGACAAAGGTTGTGTGCACAATTTCACGAGAAATATGTATTACAGCGAGCGTGAATCATAGTTTGTTTGAAGTAATTCAACTGATAAAGAAAATGTCACGATTTGGGATCTTTTCGGATCTATTTTTTTATTACAAATGTTTAGTTAGAAGCGATATGTACCGATGGTAAATACGCGTATTTTTTTTCTCCTTTATGACCTATTTATTCAACAATAATTGCGTAAACTTATTTCTGCACAGTGCAATTTTCTAACATGATTAAGCACCGTTACATAAAAATCGACTGGATAAATCAGATTTGTGTTTATCTCTCAAAATTTTCATCAAAATTTCTCCCATGTAAAACGTTAAACACTTTTCCCCCACAGTTGACACTAACGTCCAAGTTAAGTATTTAACTTTTTCGCTCTTAATTAACGTCTCGCTTGAGAATTTTTTTTAAGAAGCCCTAAAATAACCCAAGCGACTAAATCCTCCCAGCATCGGTCTCTTGCATAAAGACAAAAGTTCAACTTCCAAGGACAGTGAAACCATTTGTTTTAATGGCTATTTTAAGTTGAACGACTACTGATTTGCATAGCTTGTGTATCGCTGTATTCTTCTTCCAGCCGACATAAGCCCTCTGAAGAAATTCCGTCAATGGATGCTGTTACCGCCCTCATAAATAATGCATTTCCGCAGTAAGCAAATGTGTATGTATGCAGCTTTGACTTTACTCCAATTAAAAGTCCACAGTAATAATCTCAAGTTGTCCGTTGAGAAGAAAACCGACATACATTATGTGCACGGGCAGACAAATTTTATGGAAAGACCAGTGCACACCATTCTACACAAACAAAAGAAACAACCACACACCTCCTCAATAGAATATTTGCATACAAATCACCGTAAAGTTATTCACACAGTAATCCACGCAAAACTCTCAATGCTAAATCTTTGCTATACCGTGCAGATTCTTGCGTTTCTTGTTTTGGGAGTCAGTGGTCATCCATAATCTTGAACCCACAAATATATTGGCATTCTGTACGTCATACAACTCTCGTCATAGTCTGATAATACATCCTTTTACTCCTAGTATGAATATATACTAAATATACATATGGACTACTGCAATGGGACCATAATTGCATGACTGGAAAAAGATAATCAATGTAAGTATGTCGACTGTATAAGGGCTCGAAAACAATGGAATACAAGGCAAGAGATTGTTAGGAAATTTTACACCGAGATCTAGATTTCGCATTATCTGGATCCACTTCTTGTACCTTTTGCAGGGATCACATTGCAGCGTTGCTCGCAGGTTTTCCTCTGCGATGAGACCAAGTTTACCGTGGCGGTGGCAGTGGTGATGGGAAGAGGGCGAATAATAATATCTCTCCCCTGCCACTCTTTCCTTCCTTCCGCTACTAGGAAAGCACCCCGACAGAAATTCGGGGTAGTCAACTGTCGGACAAGCCAGAGCTCAGATCAGCTCCCACACGAGAAGGGCTAGAGAAAGGAGAAGAGGAAACCAGTTTGAGAGCTTACAGTCTTACACTTTCTCCCAAAATCCCATGCACGTCAATTTCAAACTACTTTTACTCATACAAGATTTATCTCAAAGTTCTTAACGGCTCAAACTCGATATAAAATTCCCTTTGTTCTCTCCGTCAAGCAGGTGAATTGTTCAGGGGAAGGCGGAACAGAGTCCGTAAACGTGGTGCTCAAGAGAGGAGAAATTAGTCAAGATCCTACGTGCTGTAAACACCTCACATATTCTCATTCACATGAAAACGAGTGGACGTGAGAAGTAGTCGGAAGAAACACGATCCGCTGACACAATGAACAGCATTTAATTCTGGCATACATAACTTTCTTCTCTCTCCCACATACTTAAATACTGGCTTCTTGATGGCCACCGTAGTTGACAAAGGAACAAGTTGAATAAACTAGATTACAAAATAGAGGCTAAAAACTTGTATGTTTCATTTCTTCGCAAATAAGCAGTAGAGAAAACCGTGTTATGAACACAAATGGTGCAAAAATTGTTGCAACCCTTATAAACGATTGAACCCTAATTTGGGTATAAAGTGCACGTTCGTGTTCTCTCCTGAGAATAGGATAAAAGCCGAGACAGAAAACATCGTCCGAGCGACCATGGAACTTTAAAGTAAGTAAACTTTGACAGTGTGAATTGTAGTACATAAATAAAATAAAAGAAATGTGGTCGTCACAGCGTCGTGGCATATTTCTCTTTCGTGGTGAGTATAATTTTCCCCTTGTCGTCTCCTATTTTCAAAGTTACATAGTTGAGATTTGCCTTTGTACAAATTTTTCGGTGAGACAAAAGTGTCGCAAAGAGTTAGTGGATTGGTTTGTCAGGTGTCGGTTACAATTTTTGTCCAGATTTTTCCCTGTACTTTGGAAAGCCAGAGTAGAGTGCAGAACGTAATAAAGAAGAAATAGGTGAAGTTTGTCGATATAGTTTACCTCCCGCGGTATCACTCGATCATCATCATCTTTTAAAATCAATCTTTTTAAGTGAAAGTGTAAGTAAGGTGATTTAATCCGATTTGGGAGGAATGTGCCTCCCACGGCCATCACCCAACAACAAGGATGAAATAGTGTCCGTGAGGAATAGCGAAAGACCACTCTCGACACGAATTCGCCATAAAAGTTACCAGCAGGGTCAGAACCGCAGTATCTCTCTCCAATTTTGTAATTCGAAAGTTTATCCTAGATACGTACACTGTTTTCCCATAAGAAATCTATAATGTTGTCCCGTTGGTGTTGATTTACTACAGGAAAATGAACCAACTGCAAAAGCAAATAGATGTTGCATGCAAATAGCCACACTCATCGATCATTTATTATGCCCCTGCTGTTCTGCTTATTCGTATTTATTTTAGAAAAACGTAGGCAAATAGCATGATGGTTAAGGCTTGCATTTTATTTGAAATCCAATTAAACCGTAATTGTGATTGATTTTTGTAAATGATTGTACACTGACGGTATTCTATATGGAACTTGAATAACCAATAATTTACTTTTAAATTGCATATTTATATTCTTGTGGTTATCCAATTTCCATATACCGTCGTCACTATTTGACAAATAAATTTTTAATAAACGAGTTTAAATCTGTTAGCAATAAAATAACCGTAAAATTTCTACGTGTACATGATTTAGCTACAAAAAGGTCGGTAGTCATTCATTCACCCATCCAATCTTCATTGGGACAATCTGTAATATCCATCTAAATCTAATTTCAACAGTTTGTTGGTAATTTGCAACCATTTATTGATTACATTTAAATAGTTGGATATAAATGCATGATGCTTGCAAAAAATACAATATGTAGCTTGTACATTTTAACTTTATCGATACGTTCGGAGAGGCGTGACTTCATTTCGTTTCCTCACTGCAGTCAATGGCAGTTGGTCTTTTCCAATATTGAAACATGGCTGGGAGGCAAAGCCAAAGAAAACCTTTTCCTTGTCAGAAATGAAAGTAAAAGACGCAGCCAAATGGAGTTGGCGTGGAGATGATTACACTCCTCGGGATATACGGCGTACGTACTTTCATAGCCAACCCAACACCACCAGTTATTTGATCCAAATCAAATGGTCTCACTTTACATCAGGATCAGTACAACATTTCATTGCTCAATTCTGCGTACGACTTTATTTTCCAGTCTTTGTTTTCTTTTACATTTTTGCACTTTTGCCTCTCAGCAGAAGGATTCATTTCATTGTTTCAATTTTTCAGGATGTTACATTTGGATGCATGTAGGATGGTATGTAGATGTGTGCCATTGAGTAATAATAATATTTGGTAGTTCCGGGTGGTCAAGCTGCCTACACATGCAGGACAAATATGGTTGAGGATAAGAAATGAAGTTTTCACGTACAAAATTTAGTAAGCTGGGCGGAAAATGTGGAAATACCAGTTTATATAATCAAATTCAACTCGTTAAAATCGAATTTGCGGAGGACTCATTTCATGCCATGATTTTTTGTACAAAGTCAATCTCAACAGAGCATTATTTGGGTATCGAGTAGTGGGTGGTAAAAACAGCCCTCGGTTTAAAAGTAAATAAAATAAATAGCCAATTAAAATTCTTGGGATTCTTATGTAATAAATTTATTTAACATGTTCTTCTATAGTTGTTGCTCATTTTTATAAAAGGGCGGAAAATACGCTGACGTAAAGCTCTTTTTACATTTGCGTCAAGTCATTTCGATTTAGACACAAAATTCGTCAGTAGATTTGTCGACCCGTCATGAATACAGGATTCTCTTTTGAAACAAGTCATATGACTGACTGCCAACCGACCAACGCCCTGCGTGTGTCGGTAAATTGGACACAACGGATGTGACAAAAGTTTTTCAGATGAATATGTAATTTGATGATTAATTACAAGTAGCTTTCGGCAATTTCAACTTCACACCAACGGCCCACTCGTCAGCCTGCCTGTTGATTATGCTACGTAGAAAACAAAAAGTGGCACAAACTTTCTCCCATGTCAATTATTTGAAGGTTGCACAAGCGAAGAAAGTTGAAAATATTTAAGGACTTGGTTTCTTCTTCAGCCCTTTTTAAGCGGCGTTAAACTTTTAAAGGAATTACAAACAAAATGAATAAAGCAACTTACTCTCAACATGTCTTGCTTCATGGAACATGGTACGCGTTACATCGTTGGGAAGACTAGACTATTAAATATTATATATTTATAGGGGCTGCCCTTGTCTTTTTTATTACGTTGGGCTATACGTACCTACACTTATGGAGACAGTGCTAAAGCCAATAATTAACTTTCTCCTACAAGCAGTAAGTGGTGGTGAAAGTATTGGGATTTTGAGAGGCTTTTTTTCAAACAGTCTCAACCAACTGAAATTGAACAACATTTCCTTATTCCTAGCAGTTTCTTTTTTACTACAAAGTGTTAATAAGAAAAAATAGGTTACATATATTCAAATGCCAGAGGCGTTTCCAATCCGATTGTAATGTTCAAAGAAGCATATGGAAAAATCGAATTCAGGCATTTCTCGAACAATAAGAAATAATAAAAGTAGTCGATATCCTCGCTTGAGAATGTTTCCATATGGCAGCGATGGTGCGATCTGGTGTGCTTCAATATTCCCACATGAGTCCATACAGAAAATTGTTTCATTTTTATCATTTAATCCCGCTGGGAATTTGGCTTGGCGTTGGATTTACAACTGATTCATGACTGCATGAACTCGCAAATCAGAATATGTCGAAAAATCGCAATAACAGTATTGCAATTCAGTCGGAACCGGATGTTAGTTCATCATCCGCCGTGAAAGTGGAAGATGTGCAGAGAAATCCAAAGTTCAGCATGGTGTTGTTGTCACTACGACATGGCTGAGCTGGCTGCCTGACATATTTATGTATCCACTTCATTCTTTATACAATTGAGAAATCCTTCCTTCACAATTGTTATTTGTGGTGTGATGTGTGAAATTTGAGACGCATTCACATTCCTCCCTTCCCGTCAAGAAACGTGTCCCAGTCCGATTCTGATTCACACACACCACATTTTTTGGATTCTTGTTTGCAAATTCAAAGTCTTCGTCAGTTTGTCTTCTGGAATTTAGTTTGGGGCGTGAGCTAAACAACTTGTTCCGAGTTCAAGGAATGTTAGCTCATTTTTAGCTCCTCATGAAACTGCACGATTCACAGAAATCGTATTTGTTTAATCTCAAACAACCATCCACCAGACTACTCGATATTTAATTCTCACCATGTTTTTCTCAGTTCTCCATGCATACATATGAACATGAACAAGTGTCAAGTCATCCTGGTCAACTGTTTGGCGAACGAATTGTTCAAAGTAAACTGAGGTGGCTGAATGTTGAGTGGGTGATGAATGCATGCAGATGTACATAGGACGATGTTGGAGGATAAATTTGCGGATGATGGCCTTCCTTTCTATGTCTGGTCATTACTTGAATGGCTGGTTACTCCATGTTGAGAGCAATTTTGATACAAAGGAGATCTGGAAAAGGATTGACACATGGTGGTGATGGACGTACCTTGCTTATGGGAGGCTGATTTTATTGAACTATTTTACGACCGACGTACATTTACACAGACACTGGAAGCACGGCGTTACTGCTGCTAGATTTGACTCCAACGTAACGTTTGCTTCTTCTGCTGCTGCAGAACATGACTTCTGTTTATTGTTCCTTACATTGCATCCTAATCTGCTCCCTCAGTTTAGTCGCATAAACCACTTCATGCTATGCATAGCAGTTTGGAGGAAACGGTACATTGGCTTCGAGATGAGACGACGACGAGGCCTGAAACTCCGACGACTACAAAACGCTCACTCACTCACTCAGCACAGGTCCATATTGCATTTTTATGCGAAACGATCAATATGAATGTAACATATTTACATTGAAAGCCAATGTTCCTGGCTGAATGGGAACATGTACAGATATGCACATGCATGTTGTAGGAAGTAAATTTGGCCAAGAGAGAATTTCATTCTTACTTTATTCGTAGATAACAAGCAAAGACACGCTCGCCTGCAGGTCCCCATAAATTCCCCCGTCAAACAATGTAGAGTAAAGTTTGGTGACTTTATAAAGTTGAATACATTCGAGTCAATAAATTTACAAGTTAAACAAGAGAATTTTTAATTTCAAACGACATTTTGTTTTCTCGCCAAAATCAGGAAAGCTCTAACGAAGTGAAAATCGCATGTCTCCGCATAACTGGATAAATCTCGACAAATGTTGGAAGCTTTTGTCGTTTTTGGAGGAGTTTTAGTCATGATAAAATGCATCACTCGGTTCAACAGCAAACATGACAGTCTACAAGGTCCCATGCACGTAGATATCTCCTAAATACTTGGAAGTAAGGAGGTACATACGTGCATGAGAAATTGTTGCTCAAAAACCATGTTTAAGCAGAACGAGTCGTATAAACTAAATAATTGGCACAATGTCACAAATTTTATTTTCCGGCTGGAAGGTCTCTTGAAGGGTTAGTCAGCCAGTTACAAACACTTATTAGTTGGCAAACACACGCACACAGACACAAGAAGGATGGAAATAATTGGAATGCCTGCTGCGCAATCTTGTTGTCCTTCTCAGTGTTATAACTTCTGCTGCTTCATTTTCCACGTCGTCGTCCAGT